CAGATCTCACCTCTACTTCCTGAAGCAGTAGAGGGAACAAAAAAGTAACTTATCGGTTTATTGGCAAACAAGCAAGCTTATCACAGTCGCTGGACAATGGCGAGCAGGATTCATCCCAACTTGCTCCTGGTGTTCAACAGCGGCCTAAGCAGCTGTGACTGTCAATATTTTGATTCTTCATGGAAAAATGTGTGTAAAATGAGGAGTATCTAAACTGCACGCCACCGCCTGGAGGGGGGGGTTAATAGACAGCTGCTAGCAAAACGTGTCAAACAGCATGCTTTCTCCCACAAATAAGTTGCTGTGACGCGCAAAAGACCAACCGAGAGTGACGAATCTTCATCTGTTTCCATTCGTTCAAGTATTCTGGTCTGGACGAAAGCTATGTTCCCACTACAGGGCATTGCCGATTCACGAAAAAATCGTAGTTGACATCAATTCTGCGCGTTGAGCTGCATTCTCGACTTGAAATTGATGGCAATCACTAATTGCGATCAATGATGGTTCTCGGGCTTTAACATTTTTTTTGAAGGTGAGTAGTGACTCACGCCGAGCTGCTCCTGCGCAGTGTGCCGGTCCTCCTTCTCCACGGTGCGCCGGCAGTCGGAGCACACCCACATCGGCAGCGGGAGGGCTGCGGGCGGCTGGCCGACCTCTGATGCACCATTCCGATGGTCGGGGACTCCCGCCTCCGAAGGCCACAGGCCATCTTTGCTACGCTCGCAGCGGCACAGGAGGCAGCGGTCGCCGGCTGTGTACGGGGCTCGCTGGTTGAGGCCGAACGTGAAGGGGGTCTAGTGGGGAGAATAGCCGCGGAAACTTAGTTCTGAAGGGTGATTTCATCTCAGGAACTTTACATCGAAATCATTTGGAGAGCCGTTGTGTATCTGCACTCGGAGAACTCTTGTCTAGATTTTCTTCCGGGGCCAAAGAGATGAATTTCAAAAAGTCGAGTAACCTTTAGGGTGAGGTCCACGGTCGATCTGACTCCAAGCACAGAGTAGCAGTGGCGAGTTGGGTTTTCGTTACCATGACAATCAGGTGTGGAATCAAGGTGTTGAAAATAAAGTGACTATTTACAGACCTGAGACTCTTTCTGGCAGATTACGGCGTTTGTTTGTGCAAAGTCATCCTGACCAGACCCAAGATTCGCAGATAACAGGCACGTGGCGCATACAGCAGACCGAGATATCGCCAAGCACACGCCGAATACGTGCCGGTTATCAGAAGCCAATGCTGCTCACACGGTTAGCTAATCTGTGTTTAACACCGCAACTGAGTTTCAGCGTAGTCGGGCCGTTAATTGAAAATGGCAGGTCTTCAGCCAGCCTTGCTGCCAAGTCTGGGCCAGAGAAACTCGTTTTGTGGGCGGGAGTGAGTAAATCAGCAAAAATGTACTTAAGAATGCTCATCTATAGCAACATTTAAAAAAAACGCCAGACAAACGTTCCTTCTGATTTCCAATGGAGGGAAACTGTAAATTGGACTGAGCAAAAATAAAACACACCTGAAGGACTCCGGTGAAATCAGCGTTGACCGGTCCTTCGGTGAACTGCGGCGTGACGCTGGTGTTGACTTTGAGCTGCAGAATAACAACATTGAAATTAGTCAGGGATGGTTAGTGATAACTGGAACGAAACTGCTCCACCCTGAACCGTTCCGCTAACTATGCGATACATCATATTCCATAAAAACGTCCATTGTTCCGTTGAACCCCGTTTTGATGCGTGGGTTCGGTCTTGTGTAATGGTGTGCAAGTCCTGCCCCGACATGCTGCCGCCGCGTCACCAGCTTGGGGACCCCAGCTGCAAAGTCAGCGGCCAGCACCCTCCGTGAAGACTTCGAGGGGGAAGATTTTACTCGTGTGCACGCATGCGGCGCAAGCGGCCACCCTTTACATTGGATTAGATTTTTTTTCAATACTGTATATTGTACTGCAACGGTGCTTACATTCAAACTATTTTATGCTACAACAAAAGTGCTTCCTGCGTGTGTTAATTGCATCAATGTCCGTGTTATCCTGTACCATTTGTCCATGTGTGTGTATCGTGTGGCTCAACACACTACTGCGCGAAGAAATCGATATTTCATGCGTGCTGTATGGATGCAAGGCTTAAGGAGCCGACGATGAGAAGAAAGGAGCGCCAACGCATAGCGCCGATGCAGATGTGGAACTGGGAGTCGCAGCTTGGAGTTGAAGCGGATTACGTGGGACAGGAGATGTGAGCCAATCGCTTTTTGTCAATGGATGCTATAGCTTTGTGTTTGCTTTCAAAACTTGTGCACATTTTTCAGCATGATGTCTCTGAACCACTGGTGAAAAGACACTTTGGTCCTCTCCTCTTTCATCTATAATTGCTTCAAACAACAAAGTGTATGCAGGAAAAGTGATTAAGATTGCAGGACTGTCTGTGTCTTGTGTGTTGTGTTGTGTTACTTTGACTTCAAGATGGCGCTACGAGAGTGACTGCCTTTCCAGCAGCTCCTATATTTTGTTCTTATACTTCTTCCTTTCATAACTTTGCTGCTATGAATTGGGAATTTCTCCATTGCGAGACTCATAAAGGGTTTCTGATCTTATCTTATCTTGGCTCGCTATATGTGTTGTAATCTAATGATTAATTTATGATGGTGGTTTTATTAGGGGTGCACCTTTCCCAATTTTCTGGCTGACCTTTACAAAGCTTAACCTGCTGGTCCCGATTTTTGACGATCCCGACAGCAGACACCTTCAATCTTCCACACTTATGGTATTGTAAACCATTGAACAATCCCGGTGAAACAATATAAACGGGTTGTTCGAAGTGCACATGAAATAGTTCTCTCAAGTAAAAATGAAAAGTCTATCAGTCATCACACAGCGGAAGGGGACAGTGGCTGACTTTTTCTGCAGAGGGGGATGAGATCGGTAGACAAGATCGGTTTTACTTTCAGGGATCAGATGATCACCGATCCCACAAAATTGAGAACATATGTTTTCGGTCTGTTTGTGCATGAAGCAAGCCCAAATAATACCGACATTTTGATAATACGGTAGCAATTAAGAAAGTTAGATACCCGGATTCAACAACAACAAAAAAAGGTGTCACCTGAAAAATCTGACATTGGCCAGAAATGTGTCCTTTTGCACCTGTTTTAAACAGTCATAACTCCCGTAATTGTCGTAGGAAAATTATACTGGGCTCGAGTTGACAGGATTTGTCCGACAATGCATGAAAACCAAGACATAACTAAAAATGAGTCATTTTAGAGCTACTTTATTGGCTTTCAATTAAGACTTAAGAGTGAGAAATTGTTCTGACTCAACTACACAGATCCCTGATGCAGAGACAGTGTATGTGCAATAAATGGCTCTGAACCAAAACCTTCGTCCTCAGATGTCCAAGTATGACACTTGGGGAGAAATTACTTGTGTGCAGTCGTGTTGCATCCTCAAAACACACTTCGCAACAAGTTAACATTGCAGCAAGACAACCGGACCGCCTCTAGGCCTGAAGAAGCGCAGCCGTTAGCATGGCTAGCATTCGTGTTATTTTTGCAATCACGGTGCTTTGAAAAGCCCTTTTGGTCTTGACTAATGTGCCCTTTAATCTGAGGATTCTGTCTCCGGCTCGAAATAAAATTCACGGCGATTTAAATGGACGGAAATGCAATGTTGAGCTCGATCAGAAAGTTAAGCTAAGATCCATGGTCAAGTCGGTTTCACAGGGTTGGACCTGGACTGTAGTGTTTACGGTGGCCATAAAGGATAAAATGTCAAGTTCACAAGACATAAAACTCCGAAACAAGACACTTCTAGCGGTTCGCCTGGTCATAGCGAGGCGTCTTCCTGTCATCGGTTTCGGGCCCGTATCATATTAGCGTCGTTGGTAATGTCGCCCTGTGCCGACATGCTTGGCCGTCTGATGAGGAAGCAGGGGTGCAGCTTACCTCTCCGTTGATGCCCGTCACGGAGCCCCTGTTGCCGCCCGTGACAGGTGCGAGGAAGCCGGCAGGTGTCGGAGCTCCCGCGCAGCCGAGGGCCGAGACCACCCCGGCCTTGCTGCCGACGACGCCGCTGCTGGTGCCGCTATTGCAGACAGCAATGCAGCTACTGCCACCGCCCCGCTTATTCTTCCTGCGTTTAGCCCCTCGCTTAGCATCGGTTGGACTCATTTTTCTGCGACACAGAAGGCCGTCCGGGCTCTGTGGGCTCTCCAGTTGGACGCCGAGCTCGGGTTATTGTTCTCAACGATTTGTTGTTGTTTTTTTTACAAGGGGAAAGGCCGACGATGAAAAGTGCAAAAAAGCCGACTTGACTGTAACCAATATGGCTGCTTTGGTTGGAGCTGCGCTGTCTCAGCTTGGCTTGGGTTGACGTTGTGACGTGACGCTGCGTCCGGAACCGCGGCGGATAGTGGGAAATGTATTTTTTTGTACGGGGGTGCGGGGGGGGGGGGGGCGAGACAACAAACTGAACCGGGAAAT